TTGCTCTCATCACCCGAGGCATCCACAGCTGAGCTTCCTTTTGGCTTTGGCCCAGTGCTTCATTCCTTCTGGAGCTCCTTGGACTTGTCCTCTTATCTTGCCCAGGAGCATGCTGGGTACCTTCGGGCCTGAGGGGCTCATTGTCCAGTGTCATCTTTTTTAACATTTTAAAACTGTCCGTGGGTTTTCTTGGCAAAGATATTGGAGTGGTTCACCATTTCCTTCCCTAGTGGGTCACCTTTTGCCAGAATTCTCCACTATGACCTGTCCATGTTGGGTAGCATAGGTAGAGTACCAAGGCTGATGAGGTGTTACAGGGGAAGGGTTACAGGATGGTCATAAGCTTCTTGGGGCATGATGGAGAAGTTTGACAGAGGAGTTCCAAGGTATCGGAGCCAGGTAAGAAATGAGGAGATGTGTGAGCTGAGCCCTTTGCTTAAATGGAGGTTTTGGGGTTCATGGCATCACCCCATGGCGGTGAGGATGGATATGGGAGAATGGAGAAGGTGTGGGATCTGGAATAACTTCTGTTGGGAGTAAGAAAATCAATTAAAGATCAGTTTTTTTTTTTCTTTTTTTAAGTTATTTTTAAATAAAAAGACTATTTTCCTATATGATTGCCCCCACCAAGAGTAAATGCTATATAATGAAGAATCATGACTCACAAAACGTAAAGAAAAGGAAGTTTGTAAAGTCTTAGGAATCTCAAGAAATAGAGGGGGGAAAAACCAATAAGTTATTTGATTTTTCAACATTTAACAATAGTAATAAAGTAACTTAAAGGTGAAATAAGGATTGTAATAAGAGTATAAATCAAATGTCTTAAGGAAGAAATCCAAGTGATGAAAAAATGAAAATTCAATTTTATCCACATGATAGAGAATATTAATAATAGAACCAAATAATAGAATTATTAGATAAACGGGGGTGGGATATAGGAGTCAAGGATGACACCTATCTTATAAGTCTGAGGCACTCAAAAATAATCGAACATCTCAACAAGTGAATCATATCATTCCATTAGAAATGGAAGAAAATGAAATGGAAGAGTATGAAAGACCATGTGCAATGGCTGAACGTGGTCTACATGTAGCAGGTTGGGGAAATCGATGAGCCATCCCAAGTATAAAGGATTTGCAGATGTGGCCCCCCTCTTGTGACCATCAGTCTGCCTCTTAACTTGTTCTCTTGACTCTTGATCCCCAACATTCTATAGTCCTAGGTGTCTATTTAAATAATGTATTCCTCATAAATATTCCTTCAATATCTTTTTTTGGAATTGGCCCATCACAGTTAACCCATAATAGTTACTCATTTCTATGTAACTAATAATGAAAATAAAGGAATAGGTACTGTTAATAAGTGAAAGCAATCATAATGCAAAGACAAAAAATATTTTGAGTATAATACATCACACCTACTGTCACCTTAAGCCCTCAATAAAAAAAATAGAGAACTCTTCTTCACTTTGGCTGGAAACAGTTCCACACCACTCAGTTCAGTCCAGATTATGAGTACGATCTTTTAAGAATCCTCTTCCTGATTTCATTTTGTTGAGACTTTATGTCCACCTTTGAGGAAATTAATTAGATGATTGCTTTTTCTTTGCTCTCTCTTCAGTGATCACACCTAACATCTTTTCCCCAGAATATATCCAACTTGCCAGCTTCTCTCAAACTCTTCATGGAATTTTCTTAACTTTTCACCTATGATGTTTTTGATGAGGAGAAATTTCATACCACATTTTCTCTTTCTCCTCCATAAATGCTCATAGCTCACTACACACATTTTCTCCCTGATTCTATAGAAGAAGCATTTCATAGTGAGACATTTCTCCAACTTTTATTAATCCAACATGATTCTCCCTTTAAATATAAAATGCTTTTTGCAACATTCCATTGGGCTCTCAATGGCTATGGTTTCAAGTGCTAGCTGTCACATTCATAAAGATTATGAGTTTTGGGCAAATCCATTTTGTGCTTCAGTTTCTTCCTGTAAGTTGATGATGGTTGGGCTAGATGAACTCTGGAGTCCCTTTCAGCTCTAAATCTTGTGACTTTTGATGATTTAGGCATTGGTGACATTCCAGGATGTGGCTGTGGACTTCACTGAGGAGGAGTGGGGCCTCCTGGACCATTCTCAGAAAGAGCTGTACAAAGAGGTCATGCTGGAGAATGCCCAGAACCTGCTGTCCCTGGGTAAGGACCATGTCCTCTGCTAGCTCTGAATCTGCCATCAAAGCCATGTCTTCATTCCCTCCCTTAGCATGCAGGGTTTGAGCCTTGTCAATGATTCCCAAGACAAAAGTGCTGGTCTCTCTACAGGGTCCTCCTGCTGCTGGTTTTCCTATGAAAGGTCTTTGAAATTATGTGATGGCAATCAGGTACATTCCCTTGTTGCTCCTGAAGTTGCCTCTCTTTTTGTTTTATGTAGCTTCAGGTCAGAAGTCAATCCAGTATTAGACTTAGAGCTAATCTTAGAGGTTATGTCTAGTCTAACCTCTAACTGGAGCTGGATTTTGCCTGTGAAATCTCTGAAAACTGCTCATGCAGCTTTTCCTTGAAAATGGGCAGTGAAGGAACCCCCTACCTGCCAAGGCACCTCTTCCTCTTTGGGTTGGGTCTAGACTTTAGAAAGGTCTTCTTGTTAACAAGCATCATTTGGTAGCTCAGTGCTCCTAATCCTGGCTAGTGTTGGGTGTGAAATTCAACAATAAGGTGAACTGAGGCAATTCTCTGAGCAGGATGACTTTCTTAGCAGGGGCACACTGCCTGCTACTAAAAGGGTCCTGGCTCTGCCTCTGGCCAAATCAGCTCCCCTTTAGCAGGTTTTGGGGAATACAGAACACAAGGCAGAACAGGGGGATGGCACCATGGGAATGAGGACAACATGACTGGGTTCAGAGCTGAGGCACAGGGATCAATGTGGTGGGTTGGAAGTTTGGGAGTGAAGGGCTGGCAACAATTCCCTCCTTGCATCTGCAAATTTTTAGAGAGAACACAACAGACATTCTGGATGGAAAACCAGACATCCTTGAAGGATGGCTTGGTGGCCTAAAGATATGCCAGAGTGAGCATGGGGGCAGCCAGAGAAAACCCGATATCAGGAAATGGAGTGTCCTGGTCAAGGAACAAAGAGGAGGCATGTACCACTCATTGCTGCACGTGTGGATGGGGCGTGAGGTGAAAGAAGAATGGGGAGACATTCAAATTGCTCAAGGACAGCTAAATTCCTGGAGACAAGAGTGGATCTGTGATGAGCCAGAGAGCTGGATTTTTAAAGTTAAGCCATTAAGACAGACCAGCTGAACTATGTTCAGAGAGAAAGAACCATGACTTAACAATTACAGGACAAAATCACTGGATTTGTAGATGGGATCAACAAATGATACTGAATCAATTTAATCTTCTCACTAGGATAGTAGGTTTATCTTTCTTCTCCTTCCTTGTTCCCTCTAATTCCAGCACAGGTGGTGGGAAAAGAAGGGAAGGCAATAAGCATTTGTATAAACCTACTGTGTGTCAGGCACCGTGCTCAGTAATTTGTAAGTGTTTTCTCATTTGATCCTCACAACATCTCTGTGAGTTTGGTAATATCATCATCCCTATTTTATAGCTGAGGAAACTGAGGCACACACAAGTGATGTAATTTGCCCAGGGACACACAGCTACTAAGCATCTGAGGCTGGATTTGGAATCAAGCCTTCCTGACTAGTCCCAGGGCTCTCACCACTGCACTACCAGCTGCCTCTAATTTCTAAATAACGGAACCTATGGAGTGTATCCATCCTTTTATGAAAGGGGTGAACAGAGATGACATTTTCTGATTGGCTGCATCACCCCACAGTCCCTCCTCCAAAGATCCCAACCATCAATACCATGGAAACCATCCTTGAAGAATTCTGGGAACCATCCTGTGGTCCTTGTTTACATGTCCCCTTTCCCTAAAGAGGACCAAATTATAAATTTCTCTCCATTCTCATTCTTTCTGTATACCCCATGCCTAGGGCTTCCAGTTACCAGAGAAGATCTGATCTCCTCTTTTCAGAAAGGGGAAGCACCATGGATTCTGGAACCAAAAGGCCCAAGGAACTTTTATTTAGGTGAGTGAGATGAAAGCAAGTGTGTGAGGACTGTTGACAAGTGATTTATGTTGTAATGAAGGGAGTGCTAGCCTTGTGGACAGGAAGACCTGACTTGGAATTCTTTTTTTTTTTGAATTCTTATTTAAATACTTTTTAAGGAAGTGATGCTGGGCAAGTCACTGAACCTCTTAGCCTCAGTTGCCCCATCTATAAAATGTGGTGGTTGGACTCCATGGCCTTTCAGATCCCTTTCAGTGATTAATCTATGATTCTATGAGAAGTCACACTTTGGAGCTTTGGGGCATGGAACACTCTTGAATGCATCCAAAAAGGGCTGAGGCTGTCCAATACAAACAATTTCCCAGATTTTGTTCAAGGCAACAAGCATTTATTAAACACCTACTGTATTCAGACCCTGTGTTAAGCACCAGGAATACGAAGAAAGGCAGGGACAAGCCCATCTCTCAAGGATTTCAGTCTCATGGGGGACACAACATGCAAACAACTATGTGGAGAACTAGTACACCCAGGATAAATTGGAGCTACTCAAGAGGGAAGGCTCTAAGGGTAAGGAGGATTGGAGAAGACATTGTAGAATAAGGGGTTTTAGGTGGGACTTTAGGGAAACCAGAGAGAGCATGAGGGGCAGCCAGAGATGGAGCTTCCTGGTCAAGGAACAAAGAAGAGGCCTATACCATTGATTATTATACGTATGGAGGGTAAGGTGAAAGAAGACTGAGGAGGCAGGAGAGAGGCAGATGATGGAGGGCTTTAAGAGCCAAGTAGAGGATTTTATAATTGATTCTGGGGATAGGGAGCCAAGGGAGTTTATGGAGTAGGCAGTGACATGATCAGAAATGCACTCTCTATTAAGCACCAGGAATAAAAGAAAGGCAGGGGAGAAGCCCAGCTCTGAAGGAATTCAGTCTACTGGGGAACATAATATACAAACAACTATGTATAAACCCACTACATTCAGGATAAATTGGAGCTGTTGAAAAGAGGGAAGTCACTAAGGCTAAGGAGGACTGGAGAAGACTTAATAGAGAATGAGGGGTTTTAGGTGGGACTTCAGAGAAACCAGAGCGAGCATGAGGGGCAGCCAGAGAACACGTGGAGTCAAGAGGGGGAGTGTCCTGGTCAAGAAACAAAGAGGAGGCATGTAGCAGATTATCACACATGTGGAGGGGAAGTAAGGCGAAGGAAGACTGAGGAGGCAGGAGAGAGGCAGAGGATTTTATAATTGATTCTGGGGCTAGGGAGCCAAGGGAGTGTGTGGAGTAGGCAGTGACATGAGGAGAAGAGCGTTCTGGGAAGATGAATTTGACAGCTTGGTGGAAGATTGAGTGGATGGGGGAGAGAATTGATGCAGTGAAGCCCACCAAAAGGCTTGCAATAATACCCCAGCCGTGAGGTGATTGGTGACTGAACCAAGAAAGTTGCAGTGTTGGAAGACAAGGGGATGTATGGGAGAGATGTTACAGAGGCAGAATCAATAAGAGTTTCCATAACCTTTCACTGGGGTATGGGGTGTGAGTGTGTGAGAGATGATGAGGAGTCAGTAGCTTCTAGGTTATGAGCCTGGACCATGAGGGTGCTGGTGCCCTGGAGAGTAATAGGGAAGTATGAAGAGGGGAAGGTTAGGGAAAGATAGTGAATTTAGTTTTGGATGTCCTAGGAGAACCAAGAGAAAGTGTTGTCACCAAAACTTAGACAGGAGACAGTATCAAGGAAAAGGAGGTGATTGTGTCATGGGCTACAGAGAGGTCAAAAAGGATGAAGATAGAGAAAAAAATATGAGATGTAGCAATTGGGAGATTATTGGTAACTTTGCAGAGAGCAGTTTGAGCTGAACAATGAAACTGGAAGCTGGAGTACAGAGTTTGGAAGAGAGTACAAGGAAAAGAGTTGGAAACACCACTTTTCGATGGCCCTTTCTGGGTCTTTAGCCATGAATGGAAGGAAAGATAGAAGACTATATCTAGTGGGTTTGAATGGACCACATGAACCTTTTTTCAGGCTTGGGGAGACATAATTATTTTTTTTGTGGCAGTAGAGAAGGAGCCAGTAAACAGGGAGAGACTGAAAATTAGAGAAAAGTGGGGATGACACAAGAAAAGAGATCTGTGGGAGAAGATGGGATGGCCTGGGATCGTTTGAGCATGTAAAGGGGTTTGCCTTGGCAACCAGAAAGGCCACCTCTTCATGTGCAACGGGGCAAAGGAGGAAAAGAAAGCATCTGCTTTATATGAGGTGAGGAGGACATGAGAGAGCTCTTGGTAAGAGTTCAATTATTTCTTTGAAAAATGAGTCCAAGTGTCCAGCTGAGTGACTGGAGGGAAGCAAATCAAAGAGAGAGTTGGTGAGGAATGAAAAGATCTGGGCAAGCTGTGGTGGTGAGTGGGATAGGGAGTGAGGGCATGTCGGAGGATTTCGTTCTTACAGGGAGAGCCCACAGCAGAGCATCTAATCTAAATTTGTAGTGGGCCCAGACAGCCCAGGTTCATGATTTTCTCTGTCTCTATTCAGCACCACATGGGTAGGAATGAAGGCCACTGGCCTAGCTGGAAGTAGGAATCCAAGGCTAAGCCTCACCCTAGTCACCAGCCCAAGGTCCCTCTCCTGATCTCTCTGGCTCAATCTTTCTCTCCAGTCTCAGAAAATCATTGGCCAGATTCCTGTAGGTGACTGCCTTACAGACAGGTGGTTGGGAGGTAGAGACTCCCAGACACCCCATAAGACCAGACTCTGGAAGTCTAGAAGCCTTTGTAATCCCCAGTCTTTAGTCTGGTCAGATCTTATTGGGGTTGGAACTGGACAAAGGTAACTGCTTGTAGTTGATAAGGCATAAGAAAGAGACAGAAACAGGCTGAGGTGAGAACCTGCATTTGAAGTGGAGAGAGACCAGAATCCAGGGATTGAGGTAGAGGCTGGGGTCTGGTGTGGCCCTGGGCTCAGTCAGGCAGTCAATATAATTGATAAATACCTGCTATGTTCTAGGCACTGGATAAGCCTGGGGAAACAAAGGAAGGTAACAGGCAGTCCCTGCTGTCCAGAGCTCACCACCTAGTCTACAAACATGGAGAGAGTTTAGGAAGAAGCTACAGATCATGAGCCTCACTCTTAGCTGAGCCAGGCAAAAAACCAGATGGAAATACATCAAGTTCAAGGGAGAAATAAGTGAATAGAAGGAGAGAGGAGAATAGTAGCTTAAGGAGAGCAGAGTCAGTGAAGAAAATCACAATAATAATAGCTAACATTCATATGGGGCTTACTATGTTCCAAGCAATTTACAAATATTATCTCATTTGATCTTCACAAAATCCTGGAAGGTAGGTGCTATATTATCCTCATGTTATAGATGAGGAAACTGAGGCAAACAGAGTCCTGTGACTTGCTCAGTGTCCTATAGGTAGAAAGTCTCTAAGTCTGAATTTGAACTCAAGTCTTCCCAACTCCAGGCACAGTGCTCTGACCATTGTACCACCTGGCTGCCTCTTGGTGGAAAATAACTTTGCACCATGGAGGGAGCTTCAAATAGGGGAGATAAAAGGATGAGAGACTTTTAAGATAGTGTTTCAGCCAGTCATTTGGGACTGGGATGGACAGAAGACAGAGTGGGGTGAGGAACGGGGATCGGGCCATTTCAATGATCAAATACAAGTGTTGATCCCATTCCCTTCCTCCATGTGGTTTTTCTTTGTAAGGACTGAGGCAGGGACAAAGAGGAGAGATCAGAGGATATCACAGAGAAAACATAAAGACTTTTTGTAATAAAATGTGGATGGGAGGAATGCAAGTGTAAAAAATGAGGAGTTAGCAGAATGCATCAGAAAACAGAAGTAGGCAGCGTGTTGTGTATAAGAAACACCTTTGACACAAACATTCACAAAGTATGAAAACAAAAGCATAACATTCTGTGATACCTTTCGCAACTATGCCCCTAAACTCACTCCACTCTGTGCCCTTTGAGCCCATGATAACCACTAGTCCTATAAACTAAAAAGATCAAAGAAAGTTGAAAAAGATCCATTTCAACACAAAATTACAGCTGCTTTTTTTTTTTGCTGTTTCAAAGATCTGGATACAAAGATAATACCCATATATTGGGAAATGAATGAAGAAATGATGGTCCAAAAATATAATGGAAGTTTATTGAGCTGTAAGAAATGATGGGGGCAGCTAGGTGGCGCAGTGGATAGAGCACCAGCCCTGAAGTCAGGGGACCTGAATTAAAATCTGGCCTCAGACACATGACACTTACTAGCTGTGTGACCCTGGGCAAGTCACTTAACCCTAATTGCCTAAAAAAAAAAACAAACCAAAAAACAAACAAACAAAAAAAGAAATGATGGAAAGCAGGGCAGAGAAATCTGCAAAGAATTGTCCCAACTGATGTAGAGAGAAGTGAGCAGAACTAGAAGAGTTCATTCTGTAGCAACACTGATCAATGCAATGACAAACCATAAGTGCAGAGCAGTAGTTCCCCAAATCCTTTGCTTTTAGAATTTCTTTCAGGAACAAATATAAACTGTTGTGTGGACAGCTAGGTGGCACAGTAGGTAGAGCTCTGGCCTTGGAATTAGGAGGGCCTGAATTCAAATCTTGTCTCAGACACTTGGCACTTACTAGCTGTGTGACCCTGGAAAAATTAACCCAATTGCCTTAAAAAAAATGTTGTGAAACTCCCTTGTCATTTAATCTATTACTTATTCTTTTATATTTATGCATTTTTATTTTATGTATTTGTTACATAAGAGAATGATCTAGAAAACTTTTGCCCCCAAATCTCCAAATTAATGCTTTTATTTCACAGTATAATTATAAAATATAAAATTTTATTCTACTTCAAATTTAAATTTTCAAAATTAATTTTTAAAAGATATTTTTCTCAATTACATGTAATGATAATTTTTAATATTCTTTTTTTTCAGAAAAATTGAGTTCTTAATTTTCTACTTTTCTCCTCAACTCCCCTCTCCCTGAGACAGTAAACAATTTGATATAGGTTATATATG